AGAGAGAGAGAGAGGGAGAGTTTTGTTTCATTTGTTGATATGAATGAGAGAGAGAGACATAGAGTGAGAGAGAGAGGGAAAGAAAGAGAGAGAGAGAGGGAGGGGGGGGGGCTACCAGAGAGAGAGAGAGAGAGAGAGAGAGAGAAGTTGAATGGCAAATTTGAAATGTGGGTAAAATTGTGGCCGCAATCTATTTCACAGTTGGAATGATTTTGTTAAATTTATTGAGCGTTTTTCCTGGAATGATCACAACAAAATCTATGAGTACTCAAATTTTCAAGTTTTCTTACGCATTTTTCTTAGCGCGAAAACTCACTGAATTTGGAATATTTTTTTTAAGTTGGCCCACACATGGCTGAGTGGCAAAAATGGAAAATGTGTCGAATCGGCGTGACGATTATTTTTCACAGTCTAACTGATTTTTTGAAAATGTTCTAATATTATTTCTGGAAAGAACACGACCTCATTTATGCATTATCAAAATTGCAGATTTTTCTGCGGGTTCGTCCAAGCACATAAAACCGTCAAAGTTACCACTTGCAAAACGCCTGTTTCGTTGCGCCTGACCTCCCTGTTTTGAAAAGACGGGCCTCAACGCCTGGGCCTGAGGGCCCTTTTGCAATTCACATGCCTCACTTCTTTTTGGGGTCCGCTTCTACCCGAGGACCGGTCGAACGCCCTCCACTTCTTTTTAGGGTTCACTTCCACCCGAGGACCGGTCCTTCCTTTTTCCAAAAGTCCCGGTTCTACCACAGCTAGCTGTAGGTAGTCCGCAATTTTCCCAAGGACCGGTCCCCCAAATGTTTTTGCCCCCTAAGAACCCACTGTGCGTCCTAGTCGCCCGCTGCTCAAAATCCGACACCTTGACACGAATGTCGAAGCCCACTATACCGCAGCCCTAAGGCTGCGAATTTGCAGGGTTTTCCACGCATTCTTGCAGGTTTTTTCACGCATCCTTCTCAGCGTGAAAACTCACTAAATTTAGATTACTTTTTCAGTTGGCCCACACATGGCTGAGTGGCAAAAATGAAAAATGTGCCGAATCGGCACCATAATTATTTCGCGGTCTAAATGATTTTTTTTTAATGTTCTAATATTTTTCCCCGTCCTCGAGTGGAAGCAGACCCCCAAAAGAAGTGAAGGGCGTTGGACCGGTCCTCGGGTGGAAGCGGACCCCAAAAAGAAGTGGGGGGCCTTGGACCGGTCCTCGGGTGGAAGTGGACCCCAAAAAGAAGTGGGGGGCGTTGGACCGGTCCTCGGGTAGACGCGGACCCCAAAAAGAAGTGAGGGCATGTGAATTACAAAAGGGTCATCAGGCCCAGGCGTTGAGGCCCGTCTTCTCAAAATAGGGAGGTCAGGCACAACGAAACAGACGTTTTGCAAGAGGCAACTATGACGTTTTTTTGGGTCCGGAGGAATCCGCAGAAAAATTCAAAATTTTGAGAATCCATAGATGAGGTCGTGTTCCTTTTTTTTAAAGTCTCAGTTCTACCAGAGCTAGCTGTAGGTAGTCCGCAATTTCGCCAAGGACCGGTCCCCCAAATTTTTTTGCCCCCTAAGAACCCACTTTGTGTCATGGTCGCCCGCCTCCAAAAATGTGACACCTTGACACAGACGCCTATACCGCGGCCTTAGGGCTGCGAACACCAAAATTGTCAGGAACGTGTGTGAGGCAAATGGGGATTGAACCCATGACCTCTTAAATGCAACTTTTGTGCCTTACCAACAGAGGCCCGCAGACTTCCCAAATCTTTTCGACATGTTTCATGTATGATTTTTTGACAATCGTCGTTCCCGATTCGAAACCATGCGCCTGTGGCGGGCTAAAACTCAAAACCACAAAAGGGAGTTTGTGACAAAACGAGCGTTTTTTCGACAACTAGCAGAGTCGAGGCGCTGTGGAAATCCTGTCTACAGATCCACAACATAAAAAAACTGCCGAGTCAAAACGAGTTGTGTAGAGAAGGGGTGTTTTTTTTTTCACCCACCAATATCAAAAAATATCTGACAGTTGTCGAAAACTATGCGTTTTCGACATTGGTGTTGATAACCCTTATGAGAGAACTGGCGACCCCCCTCCATACGCAGGATTAACAATTGGCATCCGGATGATGGAATAGACCACCGTAGCGCTTCGAACTAAGAGGAATGAAAATCCGTATATCCAGAACGTCAATTCATTGATTATTTTATTAATTTGATTGTGTGTGTGTGTGTGTGTGTGTGTGTGTGTGTGTGTGTGTGTGTGTGTGTGTGTGTGTG